GAGATTTACTTGTAAAACAAATTTTTGATCGATATATTTTTTCGCTACACTAGGTTGAAAATCAATAGATTCTAGAAAACGTAAACAAAATTCGTAGACTATTTGTGTATGTGGCCATGATGCTTCTAATGTTGGTTCTTCATCTTCAGCACCTGTTTCATCCGCTACAGTATCAGTACCAATTGGTGGTAAAATACGAAATAAATTCGTTGCTACCTTTTAGAAAACGAAAATAATAAAAAAAAAAATAAAATTTTTGTTTTTTTTTTTCAACTATAAAAACAAACCATTGTTATCACTTCTGGATAAATATTTTCTGCTAAACAATTTCTCGTCACCGTTATATAATCCACAATTTCATTGAGACATGCACGTTTTATTTCTTTACTTTTAAGATCACTAACACAATCCGAAAAATCAAATATTACACAACACTGTTTTAATTTAGCAACAAATAATTTTTCTTGTTGATCAGCAGAAGTTTCTAAATAAGAATAAAATCAATTTTCAATAAAAGAAAAACAAACTAAAAGCTTTTTGTTTATCTCAATAGATCCTATTTAATAGATTAAAACTTTCTTAATCTTCTTATAAAAAATAAAACAATAAATCTAATAAATACCTTTTAATAATGGTAATGCTTCAAGTTCAGTACGAAAAGGTATTGATTAGATTTATTGTTTTAATTTTTTTGTCCAAGACGTGATGATTCTTGTAAACGTTTTTTACGTGTTCGAATAGGTTGTTTTTTATAGAAGGGATCATTTTCTTGTAGAGTTAAATTTAAAGACATCCTTTTACATTGATGTCTCTAAAAAGAACAACAACGACAAAAATTAAAATATGAAAAAAAATATATATATATAAACATGAACATAATACAAAAGAATAAATTCACATTCGTATCTACAAACATCATCATATAGAACAGTAGAATCTAATTGCCTATTCACGTAGTTGTCAAGATATAAACCAATATAAAATTTTTTCATAGATGTCGCTTTTCATATTCGTATTCTTTTGTTATTGTTTATTTAGTTTTCTTAGTAACCAGAATCCAAATATAAAAAACAACAATTAAGCTTTAATCTATATGTTAATCTAATCAAACATCATGCATCGATATATGGCCACAATAACTTATACATGACTGATCGATTGATTGATATAAGAAATAAACAAAGAAGTTTTTCTTTCGGATAATGTATTAAAGATTTATGATGTTAACATTTTTCACATATATTTTAACGATTAAATATCGAAAACTTGATGAATTAATCATTTAATTCATAGTAAAACAAATGATTATCAATATAATCTTGGTCATAGATTTTGTCATAGGTTGATTTTTTTCTATGATCTATTTTGTAAAAGTTACATGTTGTTATGAGGAATTTTAAATTGCAATTACGATGTTTTCATATTGAATGATTGAGAAATAGACAAAGAAAGAAAATGTCTAGGGTCTAATGTATTAGCATATTATATTACATTTGGTAAAAATAAGATGTGCTCAGGAATAAGAATTTCTTTCTCAAAAGATCATTTGAATGTTTATTTTTAAGCGTTCTTTTTCGTTTCATGAAATATCATTTATAATTTTAGTATTTCCTAAATTCAATACCATTTCTGCATTAGTAGAATAAATTTTAATTTGAAATCTGAATGATTAATATCAATAAAAATACAATCAGTTCAATTGAGATTATTAAGAATCGTTGTTTTTTTATCTGATAAATTTTGATCAGCATATTACGTCTTTTATATTTTATTTAATTAAAGAGAATAATACAGAAAAAAGAAGAATATCTGGCATAAGAAGAAAAAAAAAAGTATAAATTTGACATTTTCTAAGCACAAAAATATATATATCAATAAATAGACAAAATTACTGTATCAAATAGAAAGACCTTTATCGGAAGAATATAAGCAACAATTTGTTCATAGGTCAGAAAAATAAATTCTTAACTAATGAACTAATTAGAAATGTTCAACTTGAAATGTCCATGTTCCTGTATAAACATCATAATCAATTAATTGTCCATGAAATTTTTTTGTTATTTCTTCTAAATATTTTCTATAATTCATATTAATTAATCGATCTGGATCAGTAATTTCTTCATTACCATTTGATATTGAACGATCAATTGGATAAACACCTAATAATGATATTATAGCTTGACAATTTAATTCTTCACCTTCTACTGGTCTATCTTCTTCATTTGGATAAACTATTACATGACGACGACCAATTTCAACTAAAATTAAATTAGAAAAATATTTATTTGAAAAATCTTCTCATCATCATAAGGAATATCAATGACATCTTAAGACAGGATTAGTATTTAGTTTCATCAAATATAAGAGCTCCTCCGATAAATTAGTACTTCTTATGAAACACGGTATAAAAAAAAGAGAGTTGAAGTTAATGATGAGCAGGACCAATAGTTTATAGTCTCGGTCATAAAAATGCTTTGATTCTAGCTTCGTGCTTAGTAATACACTTACTATCGAAAAATACAATATGATTTTTAGCCATGTTAATGAGCTTGAGACATCTTGCATGATCTCTAATATCTTCTGTCTTAGAAATCTATTACCTTCTTTTTTTAAATTCATTAATACTTCATCTATTCTAAACGTTAATATGTTCAGAGATTCTGTTATTTATGAAGAAAAAAAGAATTAATTTTACTATCAAAATTGTAACAACAAATATTGAAATAATCGTTACTCGATAATCTTCGCATAAACTTTTAGAACACATAACTGGTGATAACATGACATTTGACACAAATTTTACATGACTATAAAAGACATCGCTTTTAATTTAAAGCTATTGGACATGGTTCCGGTGTCTATCTGGTTCCCGACTTTGGTCTCGGTCACAGTCCTGATCCTGGCAGGACCAAGACCATCTTGCCTATATGATCATTATAGATCGTGATAGAAGCCTTAGCAACACTTTCTTCTTCTGCGCCAGAGACGTTGATATACAATCAAAGACCTTATGTCAATAACATCTCATTACTACTTCCATATTGCATTTCTAGAGGACTAAGTAAAAGGCTGGTAAAGAAATGTGTTCCAAAGTAGAAGCAATAAACTTATCTCCTTATGATTAGCAAGAACAGCTTTATTGTGTTTTACATTTTAAACCTACGGCAATTGCGCTAATAGTTTGTTTGTTTGTTTTTTTATTGGACTTACCTATTCGATCAAGATCAAGTCCAGCTAAATTCATATGTGAACCTTGAAATGTAACAGAACCATAATGTTTTCGACCAATAGTAAGTTGTTTAACAAAACATTGACCATGTTCATTAAAGTGTGAACGTAATTCTTCAATTTTTGGTGTAGTATAATAATCATTATGTGTTAATTTTGGTAAATGAAATGATTGTTGATCGTATTTTTTTGATGATATATATTCATCATATGTAAGAAATTTTTTCCATCCAAGAATATTGTCTGATGTTAATGATGATGATTTATTAAAAAGTGTTTCATTATTTGATTCATTATTTCCAAGAACAATTGAACGAATTTTATGCATATCAAGCGTACGTGGACGTTTTATATTTATTTTAGAAATTTTATTGTTTGAATATGGACCATCATCCATAATTGATAGATTATTATTATCATCATCATCACCAATAAATGAATCAACTAATTTTCGTTTATTTGATTTTGATGATGAAAGATTACTTGGTAATTTATTTGAATGTATTGATAATGGATTAATTGATGATAGAACGGTAGGCTTAGTAAGAACAGATGAAAATAGATTAGATTTTTGACCAATATTTGATGAATCAAGTGTAGAACGAAGACGAGTTTCATCAAGATTAATATTTGTCTAAATGACAGGAAAAAAAAGAAAAGAATTAGTCAATTATATATCAATACATCTGATAAAGTAATAGGAATTTGGTAACAGATTAATACTTGAGATCAAGAGCTTTTTTTCCGTTACAAAAAGAAAACAGATTTGCAATTTGATGGTAAGCTAGATAATTGATAGCGGTTCTGTCGTATGACATTCATATGTATCCAGCTGTTTTTTACGTATGTTATTATCTGTCTATTACTATTACTCGAGAATAGAGTATTTATTATAATACAAGAAATCATATGAGAAGAAGTTTACATATGAAATTATATTCTTAGAAAATATTGTTTCTTGTTTTTTTTTCTGAATAATTCTACTCATTTATTAAGAAAAAGTCAAGTAAATAATTTCCTATGACTTACTTTGTTATTTTTTGCAAGAAAAGTCGATTCATTATTAAATGGTCGCGTATTAAGCATTGTTCGAAATGATTGTAAATCAAAGGATGCTGTGGTTGATGGATGCATTGTTGAAAATAAAATAGCTATGAATGAAAAAGAAAAAAGTAAATTAAAAAAAATCTTCCTTATATATAATAGTATTGAATTGTGTAATAACGTACAAGAAGTACGAATTGATGATGTAATTACTGGTTTTGATAATGAAAAATCGCAAGGTATGCTTATATTTGTTGTAGTTGGAAAGAATGATGACGAATTACCTATGTAAGAATGAGTCATACAAAAGACAACATATGTCATTTAGAAATTTACCGAATGTAAAAGTTGATGTTGAAGGTTGATTATTTTCAAATGAGAATGTCTAAATAATGAATATAAAATTCTTCGAAAACAAAAAAAAAAAAATATTATTTGATACTTTAGATTCTTTTGAGAATGATTTATTATCATATAAAAATGAACTTGATCCTGGTAATGTTGTTGTTGAGATTTTAGATGATGATGATGAACATTTTTGATTATCTTTATAAATATCTGAACTAAAATCCTAAATTGTAAAACAAAAATTCGATTTGATGAATTTTTATAAGCGTTGATTTTCTTTTTACATTAGATGATTTTGTATGATTTGATGTTTGTATAGTATTTTTATTAGCTTTATCCAATCCAACAGCTGATCCATGCTTGTGAAAAGTAGTAGTCTCAAGTGGCGATGGTTTATTAATAGTAGGTGCTCCTAAAAGTAAAAAAAATATTTTTCTGCAATCAAACTGACTGTTTTTTTTGCAGAGAGGCGTTGAGCGCTCTTTTGAGAACTGGAGAGCCAAAGGAGCAATATAATACTGGAGTGAAACGGAAATTTTCCAAGATTTGGGGATCTTTCCACCCAGGATATCTCTAATTATTAAAGACTTAGTTAACTGACATCAAATATCTACAAACACTAGCTGACCGGGTTACTTCTACAAGAGACACAATGACAACAGTATTAGGATGTTTAGGAATGTGGCACATTTATAAAATAATATTAATAGGGATTTTCAGTTTTAGTAAACTGTTTCACCGAAAAATCATACTAACACACTAAGTCGACATTCATGAATTTACCTGACCCTATTCATACTGTATGGATGTGTCAATGCTTCAATGAACACCGATCCAGTGTAATTAGTAGGCGCACTATCAAATCTCGTCTAGAAATACAACAGTGACGGTGTACCAGTATAAACATGTATATATAGACTAATGGTGAATGCATAATAAAAATATGACGATCTTGGATTGATTTGGATTTCTTCGGTTTGAGAGATCATTTCAAAAAAATTGCTGAATTTTATAAACATGAGCTATAGGTTTTTGGAGAATGTGTAAGTGTCAGTGTGGATGTGTGTTTTAGTATTCCGTTCTCTTACAACCACTGTCACACTCATTATATTTGAAAAAAAAAACAACTATTGAGGATGAGGAATATTTTTACACGAGGGACCATCTTTCAAGAACATTTAGTCTAGAGGATATTCTAGCATGAATTCGGCATCGATAATCACTGTTGTATTTCTAATCTCATTCTTTCCGATTTTAGATATCAGTCAGCCTTGTAAGTCTGTTATTGAAGAGATGAAATTGAATGATTTAGCATAAAGTTGCATGTGTATATTAGAATTTGTTCTTTTTTTTACCATGTAAATTTGATGATAAAAATGGTGTTGAATGTGGTGTTGTCTTTGTATTACCAAATAGAAAACTATTTTCTGTTCGATTTAAATTTACAGGTGTTGATTGTCCAAAAAGACTCGTATTCATTGTTGTTGAATTGAAATGAAACATGATAAACAAAATAAACAGAAAATCTGAAAAGAATTTGTTATGTATTATTTTTATTCGAAAGAAATTATCGACAAAAAAAGACAAACAAGAAAAGGTTTTTAAATCTAATACTTATCTGATGTTACACACAAAATGAAACACTATATTTAGTCCTTTTTCATTTTACTGTTCATTTGAGGTACGCAAAAAAAGAAAACAAAAAAAAAGAGATATATAGTATAAATAAATATCAATAAACGTATTCAGGAAGAAGAAGAAGAAGAAAAAAAAATGCAATAGTTCATTCATTCTATTAATTTATCTGACAGCCTGTTTAATAAATAAATTATTTATCTTTGTCTTTTCATAACTGACTAGGAAAACAGGCAATGAGCACACATACATCATTAATATCTATTAAGTTTTTTCTCTTAATCGACTGACATAGATTGTGAAGAATATGTGTGTAAAAACGACAAATATAAAAGAAGAAGAAAAAAGCAGAAATAAATATCAATATTTAGAAACGGCCGGATTGTATCGATGTTGAAGCTATTTGAGAATCAATACGAATATATGATGATGGAACAAAACCAGTTGAACCATCAGATTTTTTTATACGTGTCCAACCATCACCATGATCATCCTCTAATATTTCAATATTTTCACCAACATATATTGATGCAGCATTTACATATTGACTACCATTGATACCATGGCCTTAACAAGCATAAATAAATTTTTTCGATTGATGCAAATAAGTTTCCTTTTTATTCTGAAATTTTTAAGTTACTTGAGAGACTAAGGATTCATATTGCTAAGTAGAAACTCAAAGAATTGATTATCTATTTTAGAAATTCTATGCCTTATTGAGTTGAAATCAATTTAGTTTCGGGAAAACATTGAAGTTTAAGATATTTGATGGGTTTGTATTTCTCTAGTTTGTGTATAATAAATATAAAATTGATTTTTATCTAATATCAAACAACGTTTATTGCGATTGAAAAATAAAAGAAACCTCTTTTATGTTTGAATTTGAATCTAACAGAGCTCTGCACAAACTAACTCATGAAGGAAACTCTCAGATGCTAAATCACTTTTAACTCAGGTCTATGTACATCTTGAAGATAAAGATATTGTATTTTGACTGTATTTTTTAAATCAATATCATGATATCCATCAAAAGCAATTGAAAAACTGACTTTTGAATTTGTAGTGGACACTTTGCAAAGTGACAGAGTTCAATGAGAATAGTTTATTGTGAAAGATTCAGATCTTTTGATTTGTTCCTATCATGAAATAAGAATATCGAATCTATCGGTGTATATAAGGCACTCTTTTATCATTTACACATCTTCCGTAGAACTCTATGAGATTCCTCTACTCTGTACATCTCTAATCGTTCGATAGGATCAACAAAAAGATCTGAAACTTTTACAATAAACTATTCTCGTTAAGATCTGTCTACTTGTAATTTCAAATGCAAATTCGACAATTAGTTTTTCTAAGAAGAACTATGGCATTGATTTCAAAAATACAATCAAGCCGCAATATCTTCATATTAATAAGCTAAAGATTCGAACTTTGTTCAAGGTATTCATAGCTCATTAGAGTCTACCTGATATACATAAATTCGACTTAAAAGCGATTAATTAGTTGGACGACTTCCTTTGTTTGTTTCTTTTTAGAAAAGTATTAGTAATTTTGAGTTTTGTTTTTTCTTACCATTAAAATCATAAAGTACGCATGCTTTAGTATAATTGTTTTGATTTAATGGTTCATGATATGGACTCTCAATTTGATCAACATCATTATCTTCATCTTCAAATGAACCATTTGTATCAGGTGTTGTTGTATCTGTTTGATTGATTGTCATTGATATTATCGATGGTAAACAATGAAATTCATTTGGTTGATCGTAGATACTATTTTTATTATGTTCAGGAATATCAGGTGAACTAAAACAAATAATTTTATTAATAAAATAGAAAAAGATTAGTCTTTAGATAATCGATTTAAAAAGAAAAGAAATCATATAAGGAAAATTTTGTGCATGCGTTCTTTTTTTTTTTCGTTTGTTCTACATGCTTTTATTTGATGAGATATGTTCGAGAAATAATAAAGCAAAAAAAAAAAAGGTTTTTTTCTAACCAAACCGTAGTCGACCAACGTCGATTGATATTCATAAGTTTACGATGATGTTGACGAAAATAAAGTGAACTACACACAGAAATATATGAATAACTTGATTTTTTTTTCATTTTACCTTCGATTTTGTGATGATGTACTATAATTATGATTACTTATAGATTGATCAGAATCATAAATAGAATGTGAACGTAAAGATAAATCCATATCTGATGATGTTGATATTCGTGCTCGTTCAATTTCCGATATATAAGACTAGAAGTAATGAATGCAAACAAAAAAGAAACTTAATGTTATTTTTCATCAAAAGCACGAACGCACATAAGACCATACTTTTGCTAGAATAAAAAACGGCACTTTTCTTTGACTGAAATCTGGTTCATTTTGATTAGGATAACTTGACTATTAATCACAAAAGTGATATATTTAGAATTAGAACAAAAAAATTGAGTGTATCTGTATATTTTTTCAAACAATTTAGAAAAATCCCACCCTAAGTTCACCACAAGAATCTCCCATAAAAAAATGAACTCAATTAAAACATGAAATAGACTATGAGAAATGAATTGTAAACTTTCAAAACTTCAATAAAACTCAAAGTATCAAACCATGAAATAATGAAAACAGTGTTTGAATTTAATTCTTTTTTTTTGATAAATTCGTGTTGAAGACCAAGGCGGAATTTTCCGACAAAAATGAAAGTTGTCAAAATGGTTTGAAAAATATATAGATCCACTCACTTTTTTGTTTTAATTCTAAATATATCACTTTTGTGATTAACAATCAAGCTATGCTAATCAAAATGGACTAGATTTGAGTCAAAAAAGTGCCATTTTTGATTCCAGCAAAATTTTCATTGTCACGCAATCGTATTATTTTTGTAGCGCTTCAAAAGGGTTATTGAATGGTATAGAAACGAAAGTGTTTTCAATTGAAAATAAGCCAGAAAGATCAACTGCACTGTCGTCTCCAATCACATTGCTATTCATACTGATGTACTACATGATTAACAGGTGACCAAGAATATTTCTTAAAAAGACTTAATGCTTTCATGGTTCATATATAGATTTGTGCAGTTTTATGCACTCTTCCTAATAATGTAGTATATTCGATCTGGAATAACATAAATTAGTACAATTTAATGAGTCCATTTCAGCCAACAGGTAAAACATATTTTACTATGAGTTTTATGGATGTCATATTATATGACTCGAGTATTTCTGTTCCATTTGGAAATGTAATCAAACGACTAGGCAAAAGAAATTACTTAGGACTAAATGATTTTTATATAGAAACTCTTAGTAGATCGATTTGTGGTCTTATGCATAGATCGTTCTTTCTTACTTCAAATCGTTTTATTTCAGCTACTAATTTTTCAATATGTTCATCAATAGATATAATTTGTTGTTTAACATTTTGTTCATCACCAAATTTAGGATTTTCTTGAAAAACAAGCTTCATTTTTGTTAAACCTTCTCTAGAATATATTTTGAATAGAAATAAAATTTGTTTCGACTTTTTTTTTTGTTCGACAAATTTATATTACTTGGCTTTTTGTTTTTTTTCTAATTCATTTTTACAATTAAAAATTTGTTCTTGAAGTTTTCTTATACGTTGAGCAGGAGGTAAAGAACTAAATGGTGCACTGATTGTTGCCATACCATTATTAGCAGTATTTGAAAACTAAACAATAAATAAAAATTGTAAAACAAAAAAAAAAAGCCTATTTAAATTAAAACATTAAGCATTCAAATATCCCCATTTTGTTTTTCTCTTTCAATTTTACTAACATCAAAAACAAAAACCTAAGCAACACTTTTTAATCATGCTTTTCTATCTATAATAATTATCTATAATCGAAAAATTATAAAAAAAATTTATATATATGCATAATCAAAACTATAAATCAATTACTTTTCTTTGTGTTGAACTTCCAAATAGTTTTCTTATTGTACTAGCTGCACCACTACTTTTTCTTGTATTTATTCCTGATGTTCTCATTAATGTCTGTGTTCTACTAATATGACTACTAGGTGCATATATAGTTGCCGTACCATTTGGACGACTAGAATCACTATTGATACTTCTTAATGTATTTGAACGAGTAAATTCATTATAAATTGGTTGATCATGTCCATTATGTAATATTGATGGAAGATCACTTGTACTTAGATCAATCTAAAAATAAAATTAAAAAAACATATATACAGGGATACCGTCTCTATGTATGAAGTCGTTTTTCGATTGAGACAATGTTTACTTGATGAGTACTAGTGAATAATAGAAAAATTTAGAATGGCTTGTTTTTTTGAATCATCATTTTTGAGATATCGAATTTTTACTGGACTTTTTAACAAAAACGCCATGGTCACGTGAATAATCGACTTTCGACTTTAAACTTTTCACAAAACAAATTCTTTATAAAATTAGTTGATTTGACAAATTTTAAATTTTATCTCTACAAAGGAAATATTAGTTGCACAATTAAATAATCTCCTTAAGAACTTTATTTATGCAAAGTTTGAAGCCGAAACTCGAAAGTTGATTTTTCACGTAAGCATAGCTTTTTGTTGAAAACCTAGTACTATTTTGATATTTCGAGGATGAACGTCTGTAAAATCAAATAATTCTAGATTTTTCCATTACTCATCAAATGACTATATTCTTGATCGAAAAGCGATTTGACACTTAAAGAGATTTCCTTGTTAATTATATTCAGGATTATGTCAAAAATTTTAGCCTTCAAAGTTTTTGACTACTAAATCGGTTTAAATTGCTATGAAAGTTATATCCGTTTACTAAGAATGTGAGGCAACTGTACAGCTTTAGGTCATAAAGTAATCTATTGGTCTTATTTATTTCAACAGAGTAATCTTTAGGATTGAAGATACTGCTTATTCAGATCGTCTTCGATTTGTTGTGATTCAAGAAACTTTTAATACTGCTCAAACAATCATTGAAGATGATTCTTATTTTGATGACATAAATAGAATAACATTCTGCGAAACATTTTCTCATTGGTTATTTCAAGTATTCTTGTTTGTTTTAAGTTCTATAAATTTTTATGCTTGATGAGTCCATTATCAACTTAATTATAGCACGAAACAGTTTCATATTCAAGTGACTATTTATTTACTGAAAAGATTTTCTGGAACCTATCTCAACATTGAATCGAACGTAATAGCTAATGACGAATCATAGTTAACAATCAAGATATCATAGAATAGTTGAAAGTCCGAGCATTACAAAGTAATTCACGAACAATCAATGAGTCATTGATACTAGAAGTCAGAAAAAAAATTCGCAACTTTTTTTTCACAAAATCTAGTTAGACTCTCAATAACGGTCTAGCACAATTTTTGAAACTGTATCAGTTGAGAAACAAAAAACCGATTGTTGAACTTTCAGTTTTCATTATGAACCTGCGTAGCTACGGAAGGGAAGAATATCGTTGCCTTTCGGTAGATTCAATAGTCCCGTATCTTCCCTACAATTAATACTAACGGTAGCATTGAGCTTAAGATCAGTCTGACACAGAGTTTTTGCGCTTAGCTGCTTGGACTTTCCATACACACTAACTAAACCCCCAGAGCTGATGTATGTCACAATATAGTCAGCATGTTATCCGACGGGTGATTCGAGACAAACAGCCGTTCGTTACTGACTCAAAGTCATTCTATGGATAGTGGTAAGATCTAAACACATTACTTTGTGAATACGTGTCAAACAATGTAACCATGCAGCCTTACCCAGGCAGACAAACTTTTGAGAAAACGCGTTTAAACGCACAAAAATTGGCTTAAAATCAACAAAAAGTGGACTTTTTTGGGTCACACTTGAGGTTCCCGACTGTGAGCTAAAAACGCCCATTTTTCGTCGTTTTTGTGCGTTTAAACCCGTTTTCAGACAATAAACGCGTTTACAGAAAAGAGAAAAAGTGGTCGTTTTTTTATACTCCAGATGTTCGATCATGATTACAGTCACGTCTCTCAAGCTAGAAAAGTAGAACAACTTTTTTCTTTCTTTTATATGCGTGTAAACACGTTTATTGTCTGAAAACGCGTTTAAACGCACAAAAACGTCCACTTTTCGCTGATTTTAGACCAATTTTTGTGCGTTTAAACACGTTTTCTCAAAAGTTTCTCTGTTTGTGTAGCGGCTGAATCACGAAAAGACCGGAATATTAACTAATGTTCGGCAGAAGATCATATCCCAATCTAGCATAGTCTCGAGATCTAAATTCATATGGCTTCTTTCTGCCTTCCAACTACGTAGAACTAGATTGAATGACTCCAATGTAATGTAATGCATACGTCAAAACAATCTATATAAATAACTTTACAAAAAATGTTATCCCAAAAAAAGACTAGTTTAATTGAAGGTACAATTGTATTATTTATGAGACGATCCTTCGGAAAATAACACTGGAAATGCATCTTTGAATAATTGTCTAAAGGTCTGACAAAAGAAAAACTTTTCGTGTGTCTCTTGTGTATATATTCATATGTTTAAATTTCTTACCACTTTTTCATCATTTGGTATAGCATAACCAGATTTATATTCATCAATAACAATTTGTGAATCTGTATATGAATTTAATTGTTCCGTTTGTTTCGACATTTCATCTAAACATCTTTGTATGCGTGGTAAAACTTCACTATGTGATTGAATAAAATGAAAATAGATTTTTTTAAGTTCATCAGAACGTTTTCCATCTAATTCTTGTAAATCTAATAAAATACTTGGTAATTGTTGTCCATAAAATAAACGTTGAGTATCATTATATTGTGATACTTGTGATGTATAATTTGTATGTGCATCATCACATGTTTTAGATTTGAATGTCATTACATCACGTGCTTTTTCTAATTGTGCACGAGATAAATCAAGATCTTCATGAGCTTTTTCATAACTTTCTTTTGCACGACGTGCAGATTCAAAACATTCTTCATATTTTCTTAATGACTAGAAGTATTCAAAATCAAAACATTGAATTTTATTTGCTAACAGAAGACAAGAATCAGAAACTTATCTTGTGCAGTAATTTAAGATACTTCAAAACGTTAAGATAAAAATCAAGGTTATACAATGTCAATCTTAACAAGTATGTTTCAATCTGAATTTCTTTTTATTTAGTTTGATAAAAGATTTACTTAGGTAGATATTATAGATAAAAAAAAATAAAGTAATATTGACAATTATTTATACACTTCAAATAGAATATAGTTACAAGAATTTAGCTAAATGTAATCTAATACTTAAAACATATAAAAAAGGTTATATTTGAGCTACAATAGAATAATTGTTTTAAAGAAAACAAAGAAAGTAAATATTAAGAAACGAATGAGAAATGTGTAGAGTAGAGCTCATCGGGTTCAAAGTTTTCGGATACGGACCCAATCGAGTCCGAGCCCGGACGGGCCCTATCCTGGGTAAGTCACTAACGACTGTTTATCTCAAATAGCTCGTCCGAGAGCATGGATACGATTTTTTGGGCTTGGATCGAAGCCGACCGACATCCCGCAGTTAATTTCACAGTCATATAGAAGAGATCATATTGAATTTCGTAAAAAGCAAGTGATTCAGGATTTACTTGGTGTCTGTTTGCTTCTAACATCCAATCAATTTTGCTAAGTATATGTTTGCTTATAGCTGATAACACTGGAACGGAGCGTAGTGTTTGTCACAATTGTGGATACATACATAAATGTTTTACATGTTCATCTTTTTGATAATTTATTTTCCTTTCCATGTATTCAGTTACTTCTTCATATGGTTCATCATCTTTAGATGAATTTTCATTACAAACGAATTTCTTTAGTACAACAAGATATCTTTTCACTTTCCACAATCTGTTCTCAAGTACAATGAATTGCTCAATTATGATTGAATCGATTTTCATTCCTTTACTTTTATATATATGTAATAATTTGAAATGTCAAGATCTCATATTGTAGGGTCAGGTATTCAAACCGTTGCAAGACATCAGTTCAAAGCTATAACTAATAGTGGTTGTAGAGATAATGTCGCGTTAATAAATCTTCCACTAGGTAATACTTCATACCACAAGATAGTCGAAAAGCAGAGTATTTTTCCTTCCTTAATAAACTCTCGTTTTACATGAAAAATTGATTTCCAACAGCTAAAAGTATAGTACAAATTTATATTAAATTTACAATATCAATAAAAATCGTTTTCATTTAGAAATAATCGAAGAAAGGACTCCATTATTCTTATCTATCTGGACTATTTTAAAGCCTAAGATTTTGCCAATAATATACAACTTTAGATGTAATCAGTTATTTTCTTAATTTGTCATGCAAAAAACAAAAAGTATGAAGTCAAGCTTTTTTCGGTCAATTTCACAATAAATCAAATTAATTATTAACATAAGTACTTGACTTAATTTATGCATCATTTTCTGAGCATAATATTTTTATTGTTTTTTTGATTAATCTAAATTATGGATCATAAATATTCAATCTTTTGAAAATTTACATATTGAAGTACTCCTCTATTTTTGATAGACTAGTTTCTTTTTTTTTTTCTTTTCTTTATTCTTTACATACTTTGGTCAATAAATCATTTTGTTTATCAAGTTGACGTTTTATTTTATTGTATTCATCTAAACATTTTTTACGTTGTTCTCGACATTCTTTTATTGTTATTTGAATTTTTTTTATTGCATGTTCACGTAAATTTTCAGCAATTATTTCATGTTGTGATGCTAAATCATGTAATTCTTTTAATGTTGAACAAAAAGCAACCGTATATGAATATCTATAAAAATAAAATAAATATTTTATCTTTTTTTTCCAATTATTAAAATTACTTATTATAAAATTCTTCTTGTTCTTTTAATTTTGGTGCATAAGTTTTCGTTAATTTTTTTAATCCTTTGGCATAATCATCTTCTATTGTACAACGATCTTTAAGAAATGATTCATATTTTTCACAAAATTGAAGACTTTTTTCTGTATATTTTGATACATTATCAAATTGATCCTAAAAGAAAAACAAAATACAATAAACAATTGAATAGAATAAAGAACAAAAATAAATACAAACCCAAAGTTCAATACTCCAACTTTGGTTTATCATTCTCTATCGTTTTACTTATTTCAAATTTTGCTTACATAATCATCTAGAAATAAATATCAATACAATCTTGTTTTATTCACCTGTGGTACATATATAAGTTATATCGTTTATCCCTGTTGGTGATGCTATAATGAGTATTAATAGAAGAAAGAAAAAAGAAAAAGAAAATGAGTACTGCATGATTCCTTCTCATTAATGTACAATAGATCACATAACATTCACTGATCAACTACCAATAAATCATTTTCTACCTATTACTCACTAATAAAACGAACCTTTTCGCTCAATCAAAGACAAAAAAAAATGCACTATTTGATTTCCTGCTTACGATCATAAACATAATGTCTTAACTTTGATGAAGATGTCTCGTACACACGTATCTTGAATAGCTGAACAATATAAACAAAGAGCAAAGCAAAAAAAAAGGAAATATCGGCCAAGATGAAGGTTAAACACAATATTGATGACAGTGGACAGAGCGTGAGACAGTCAAAACAAATAAGACGCCGATGTTGTTACAACCGCGTTAAATAAACAATTTTTTTTTTTGTTGAAGACAATAAGAAACAAGACAGACGGTATAAGGTGGTAAAACTTTGCACGTCATTAGAAAGTCGAGACAAATGATTTAATGAATAGCTTAGTTGTAATCATCTACAAATCAACAAAACATTTCTTTTGAATATTCAACTAGGGAGAGAGAGAGAGAACGAACAAGAAAGTGAACGAAATAACAAAAAAAAATTAAATCAAATCAAAACACTTGACTAGTACTACAAATTTAACAAGGACAAAAGAAACCAGAGAAAACGAATGAGAAAAAAACATGAATGTATGTTTTATTATATGGTTTTTTTCTTTTCATATGAATGTAACTATCTTTCTTTCTTTCTTTCTTTTATATCAGGAAATTTAATATATATATATAACAATTTGATTTGTCAAATGAAGAGTAAAAGAAAAAAAAGATCCTTGAATATAACTGCGCTTTGCCCTTCAGACTAAATCGAGTTTTAAAACAATGGAAAGAAAAAAAAAACAAAAAAAAATGAATCTTTTTTTATTTACTTCGTTTTATTTCATTATTTCAGTTCAATATACGGCGAATCATCGTATTCATTGTATCGCCATACAAATTGAACGTTAGTCTTTTCAATAGTACTATAACGGCATCTATTCATTTATGTAAATCATCTTTATAAGAATAAACAGATACTTTGAAAAAAGCAATGAGATGAACTTAATTAATCAATAGATCTCTTTCTTAATAATTGAAACTATTAGAAATAATTGAATGTCAAATAAATGGTTAATGAACCATGCGATAATTAAATGATTAGTTGTGCAATTTTTTCTATTACCCAGGTCATACAATCTAACTATAAAATCTTGTATATGATTGTTGCGAGATCATATAGGAGCTTACTGTATGATTTTTTATAATCATAAAAGATTAGAGGTACGATCTTGTAAGATTTCACCGTCTGATTGTTTGATCTGGGATTATTTTTGATAAAATCATACTGAAAGACTCGTGTATGAATTTAATGTTAAATCTTATAAGATTCTTCGGGATTTCCTACAACATTCTATACAAAATGTTGTCCTATTGTTTCGTACTCAATTGTCCTGATAGGCGGAAGTGAGAAGAAGGCAGATGTAGAGGAAGTTCCACTCTTCCGTCCTTTCTCGCCTATTCTGAAGAAATATTCATTTTAAATAAAAATTTATCTTTTGTTAATTTACATACTATTGAAATAAACTAAGATAAGTAAAATAAAATAAATTTTACTTTCTATTGAATGTGATTAATAAGAAGATCTACAATGAAGAAATAAGTAATTTAAATTAAACAAAAAAAAAAACCTTACTTGTATTGAATTAATCCTTAAAAAGATCTGGAATAGACGATAACACTTTATCCATATATTATTTTGATACAGTAAAGTATTTAACTTTATTGAGTAAAGTACAGATAAAGTGCCACTTCTAATCTACAATAAAGATACAATTAATTTAAAATGAAAAAAAAAAAGAATCGCTCCTATCAGAGTTGAGCAAGTTGATTCAAGAGTGACTCAAATCCTAATTTAAGTCTGTCTTGATTTATGACTTAAAAAACACTTTACTTGCTCACCAGTTAGAAAACTCTTAGGAATATCTTACTGCAAGATTTAATATTTATCTAATTATATAAGATGCTACTATGAATTTTACATGATTCCTAATATAAGATTCATGCAATGTCCGATAATCAGAATCTTATATGATTGTATAAGATTATAATGCTAGATTTTACTTATACAAATAATTTTTATAACGATAGTTTTGTGTATTTAAATAAATATTTAAGCAATTAAATACGTTCTAATTTAGCTACCACTTTTTAGAATTGATAATACGCATTCTAGGTAATAGAACTGACTAGAGCTTATTGAGTACAAAATTTTTGCACTCTGATATGGTTGGATCCGGAATTTAATCTGACGAATTTTTTAAACTTTCTATGCTTCTCTGTATTTTGTGCTATTTAAAATCTGTAGAAACTAATTTTATTTTTCTACTAATCATTATTGACTATTGTTGCTTAAGGTATGTGAACCATCAAAGCTGGACACAAAGAAATTTCCTGTCTGTTCTCGGATTCAAGGTATATCTAGTTTTATTGAACACCTGTGATAAAAAAATTTCGATTGATTTTATTCATGTTTTAGGAGTCCTCAGTTTCCTTGTCTATCGATTACATCTCTTTGATTAATTAATGACACAATACTAGAAGATATAATCTAAGATGACGAAGACGATTATAAACCGATAATGATATTACTCTTTTGCTGATATCTTCATATTCTCTTTCTTTTAATTCGCTTTTTAGCCACTTTTTTTGCACTTATGCCTGTCTATTGTTGGTTCTATATAGATTTGTTTTGTTTGATGACGGGCAGCAACTTCTTTGGTTTGTCGATACAAGACAGCCATCAATCTTCTGGCATACCTGCTAGATTTGGTCGGCAATCTGAAGTTGTTTTTGTCTGGTCTTATAAGACGTTGCTATCCAATTTATTACTAAAAACTTTAATAGTAATATGACGAGTTCAAAACTTATACTGTTCATATATTTATTGCTAGTACATGAAGAAAAGAATTCAATGAACATTGACAACGTTAATGTTTGAGAGAAGCAAATTTATTTGTTCTTTTCCTTCGACTATATTCTGTGTTTTTCATGAGAAAATATTATTCCTCTCATGTCGCAAGTTGCATGTTTGTTCGCATTACTGTCGGTCTATCGGTATAACTCTTGATAATGACTGTAACAAAATAGCCAACTGTTTAACTATGACACTACCACCGGTATAGGGCGCATTATACTGAACGGTTTTTGTCCTCCTTGAAACACATGATATGTAACAACAGTAATGGAAAGTTTATATTTAGAAATCTTTTCCGTGATTCTTCTCTGATTAAATGATTTTCGAATGATCTCTACTCAGGTCGCACATTACGATGACCAGAAACGGCCGTGTACGTGCCGTAAGCTGCTGCCGCTTTTTCATGCACTGTATTGCGGCCGTATATCACTGTGTCATAAACGACGGCAACCGGCCGTAGCTAGAGCACACGAAACAATAATTTTCTTGAAAAAATATCCTGCTTTTGGATACTTTTCCTTAACGTCAGAAAACATAAAGAAAGCCCTGCTAAAATCCTGATTTTTAAAAAATCATTAGAAATCAGCTCTGATCATCTCATATGAAAGAGCTCATCAAAAATAGGCTAAAAATCGAAACCAGACTCGAAAAATCTTGGAGAAATCATCGAAGCGAAAAAAGCATTAAAAAGATCCCGGTTTTTATGCTTTTCAAGAAATCTTCAAAAAGAATCAAAAGAATTCTTCTAAAATCCTATTTTTGAAAAATCATCAGAAATCAGGGTTGAGTACCTCGTTTTGAAGAGCACATTGAGAGTAGTCGCAAAGTGGAAATCAACCGAAAAAAAAACTCCGAAAATGTCGGAGAAGTTATCAAAACAAAAGATCATTTAAAAACTCATGTCAAAATCCGTTTGTTGGAATATCTCATAAAATCAAGATACATAGGTTATTCTTCTGTTATGACGGTGGGCATAAAGAAAAAGTACATATGGATGTCCAGTATAGGTAAAAGTCTGATCATTTTCAATTTTTAACTAGATACCTAAATTGGTTTATTTTTGGTAATCCGTAAAAAAGATTAGAATTAACTGAGATTTTCTGTGAAGATCGAAAGATCTTATTGAAATCGGATAAAAAGGTTAGGATTTGAAAATATTTTTCATTTTACACTAGTCAATTTCCATGTAATTGCTAGCCGTGTTTAACATGAGAGCACCGAGAATCAGTAGCTATATGGTTGCTTGGTCGTCGAGTTGTATTTTGGATTCGGGGTGTGGATGTAGGTGTGACAGGGTGTATTTGCGGTTGTAGTTTCTGATGAAGACAAGAATCACACCCATCTTATCCTCACGTTCAGACGAGCCTGTGCTCGTTGTAATGCTCATCTTTTCACTTTCACCAAGCTAACCTGTGACAGTTGCATCTTCCTATTTCTTCTTTGCCATATTCTTGATTGTTGATAAATTATACGTCATCATTAAATGAGTTGTATTATTGACGACGGAGAAAAAAATATTAGGCAAAAGTGAACATAGCGAATAAACGAATGATAGAACTCTTGTATCGTATATAAATGGAAATTATTGTCAACAATAGTTTACTCATAAATAAAACTAAACAATGCTGTCATCAATTGAAAATCTAGTCACATTACTAAATAAATCGGCATTAATCGAAGATAAAGAATTTTTATGTATTGCTAATATACAAATTTGGTTACTCGCTCACATCATCGTTCTAATTTATGCCCAGACATGTTTCTGCGCATGTATCTTCCTTCCAATTTACTTTTTCGTCCTATTTTTTGTTTGTCAGGAATCGGCTGATTTCAGTCAAAGCAATAGTG